TAAGGGATAAAACCCGGACGTCCAAATTTGGGGGTCAGATGCATTTGTCAAAACAAACATTAGACATAGAATATGTATCCAAATTAAGATTGACCGTTTCTCTTCCACCCCCCCATCAAATTTTGTGACGGATATATGACTTAATGAGCTATATTCCTCTCCAGACATTACGTTGTCTCTGCTAGTAGATATTGACGTATCACCTACAAGTAGCATGGTTTCAACATGCAGTTTAGCATCTGCAGCGACAGAGAATTGACGTACCGTATGACACCAGGAGCCAAAAATGATGTCAATTCGATCAGGCTGCATCAATACCTTACCATACCTCCAGATATTCCTTGGGTATCCAGACCTCTCCACAAATAGGCCTATACATCGAACTATTTTTCTCCAGATACCAAAAGAAAAAAAAGAAGATTGCATACCGAAAATATTGCACTAAATCATTTCATCATTTGATAGCCTCGCCTTTTCAAATCAAATTTTTAAACAATATTTTTTCCACCATTAAACCTGAAAAGTGAAACTGTTGCACAATTCAAGCAAAGGAGTATCCCTCATTTAATATTCATTGCCTTATTTTTAGAGAGGTTATGTGAACACACAGTATTTAAAAGCACAATTCTCATTTTGTTTGGCTTAATTTGAGTAGGAAAATCTTTCCTGTCACTTTAGTCTAGAGAAAAAGTACAGTAGCTCACCAGGAACATCCTTTCTTATCCTTGCTCCAAAAGCATTAAGAGGCCTACATCTGGTTCTACCCCTGTGGGATGAAGCATTGCTCTACTGAATTACACTCAATGTCCTAGAAATAGTAAGCTAAAAACGTTCTTGAACATGGTGAGCTCAACCAACAAACGCCGAGATGACAGAACGGGACAGAGTTTCCCTTTGTGAAATTTACATGAAATGACGTTTCCGTGCTCAAAGCCAACCCCCAGGCGGTTTTTGCGGTGATGGCCTTTTTCAGTGCCCGCCCCTCGTATTAGCGACAGACCGCGCCGAGCGAAATTCCGAAGTCAAATCCGTTGAGACAACTTTAATCTTTTGTTGTAGGTCGCCAGACAAGCCTGAAATGTCACGAAGTTAAACCCAGAGGCTGAATAATCATGGAACCAGCAAGTTTTGACTTAGGCAGATAGCGGTCCATTCCAGGCACGGCCACCGATCTCCCGGCGAAACAGAGCCGCGTCTGGTCCGAACCCTGTTTGTCGTTAGCATTAGATTGGGGTCTTATCGAATGCATAAATGTCAAAAGAACTCGATGGTACCTGTCCACTTTGGTCAACAAACACAGAGAGAGAGAGAGAGAGAGAGAGAGAGAGAGAGAGAGAGAGAGAGAGAGAGAGAGAGAG